GTGATGGCCACAAAGGTGCTGAGCCTCAGACCACAAGGCCGCCACATTTCCAGCACCAATCCTGCACGCCCAGCTCGTGGCACAGAGTAGCCTCCATCAGGGTCCCACAAGTCACATGACAGAGGCACAGCTGGCTCCAGCACACAGGAAGCGGGGTTCCAGCTTCCCCTGCCCCATCAGGATGTTCTCAGATTTGGACAGTGTATTCTTGGAAACATGCTCAGATGCGTCTTTCCTGAAGAACTCAGAAGATGAAATTGTGGCAATTCTGTCTTTCTGAGGGAGAATATATTAAAATCCAAGTTCAAAGGCTTTATTAATAATTAGTATTATTACTCTTACTAACAGTGCTATTGTTATTAGTTTACTAACCTTCTGTCTAGAGCAAAGGAATGCAAAATGAATGTCAATCCTGTGGAATTAGGTAAGCATACCACATATTGGGGTAGCCCGGAGGGCCGAGCTGGACATCCTTCAGGAGATGGGCAGTCTGTAGGAGCTCAGGGAGACCCTGACATCACTGCCCCACACTTGGCCTAGAGTCTGCACCCTTTAGAGCTGAGGCCGAGAGCTGATGGTGCCTCCACCCCATGGCCAAGCTGAGCCCCAGCCAGGGTCCCTGGCGTGAGAATGCAGACACTGAGTTCCCTCCCCAAACTCGTCCTGCCAATGCCCGCATGTGAGAGCAGCAGATCCCAGATTTCCTGCTCCAGCCATGATTTCCAACATCCCGCTCTGCTCTTTCCTTGAATGCATGCCTCCTTGTCAGCCATGTGGCTCAGAGCTCTGTTTGGAAAACACGGTCACCATCAGAGCCTCACAGCGCTTCCTTCATATGTCCGTGGGGGGATGAACAGATGGCATGTTCCCTCTTCTTGTGGGGTGGGGGGCACGCAGCAGGCCAGTTTGCTGGGTGTTCTGCAGCTCAGCCACCAGCAAACAGGCTGGCTTCCACTCTTCAGCAGGATTCAAGGGGGCCAGCTGCTGCAGGACAGTCAGGACTGATGGCCCTGTGGTGGTTGATTTTAGGTGTCACCTTGGCTGGGTTATGGTGCCCAGGTGTTTGGTCAAGCACCACCCCAGGTATTGCTGTGGACATCTTTTTCCGTGCTGGTAGTGTTTATATCAGTAGATACTGAACAAAACAGACAACCCTTCGTAAGGGGGACTGGCCTCTGACCAGTCACTGAAGGCCTCATGGACAGGCTGAAGTCCACAAAGATGAAGGAGCACTGCCTCTGTGTTGCCCTCAGGCCCCAGGCTGTGCTGCCAGCTCCTGCCCAGAATTTCCAGCCGTGGGTCTGCAGATTTCAGACCTGCCAGACCCATGATCTTGTCAGTCAATTCTGCAAGCCATGTAAGTGTGCGTGTGCGCGCACGCACACACACACACACACACACACACACACACACACATTCTATTGGTTCTGCCTCTCTGGAAAACCTGGAAACCCAGTTCCTGCTAGGATACTTGTAGTTTTCTATAGACTCACAGAGCACAGGCCCAAGCAAACAAGGATATAAGTGTGTGTCTTCTTGTTCTTAGCCTTTCCTCTTACTATTTCATTCTTTGCAAAGTTTTCAAAACAATATGATCAAGATCGGATGTCTTTTGCCCTGATCTTGGATTCCTTTTGCAGTGCAGGGCCTGTTTGGGGGTGTGGGGACTTCAGGTTTCTGAAGTGGCCAAACAAAGTTTTAGGAGAATGACAGGCTCATCAATTAGTTGTGATCTTAGCCTCCTCTATAGGGCCAGGAAATGCAGTTGCCAAGGGACAAATCTGTTTCCTCTTTGGAGCCAGACTTTTGGAGAATATGGTGGAAGCTGTAGTAATGTGCCCCAGAAAAATACACAGTCCTATGCCAGTTCAGTGAGGAAAGCCACTCGTTCTAGGCGAAGGAAGCTCACGTGCAGGGGAAAGCGCTGCAGACTAGCCCACAGCCAAGTGAAGACAGGAAAGAACAACAGGGCCAGGCTTGTGCAGTCAGTCCGCCAGCATCCACAGTTCATCTAGTGTATGCTGAATGCTGGCAGAAAGGGCTGTCCAAGCTCAGGTCCTAGCAAAAAAAAAAAAAAAAAAAGAGTTTGAGTTAATGTGGAGAGAGCAAATAACTAAAAAAAAAAAAAAAAAAAAAAGTGGAAGAACCAGGAAATCTCAGATCTTCTGTCTGGAAGGTTCTTCCTAAAGTGACTAATCCCTTAAGCCTAACATACACAGTTACTGTCCCATGAGGAGATGCACAGTGGGTCTCAACAGGACCTCCGCACACTACTCCTGCAGAGTTTAATCTGTGAAGACAGCCTACATCTCCAGAATGCCCCCTACCTGGTGCTCTATGCAAGGGCCCTCCAAAGACAGAGCAGGATTGTGGACTTCATCTCCATGCACTTAAATGGGCATAAGGAGGAAGAGCGGTGCCAAAGCGCGAAAGCACCCACAGCTCAAGCATCTGGGTGCAGGGTTGAGGACCAAAGCCCCTCTGATTCCAACCAGCCAGCTGCAGGGACTTGGTGAAGACCGCACCTGGTGTTGAAGCTTTGAGAGCAAGACCAGGAAGCCTGCTGAGGAGAAGGGGGCAAGTGACAGCAAAGGAAACACTGGACAAGTGCGCTGAGCCAGAAGTAGGCCGAGACCCTCCACACACAGCCGGAGGCCTGCGCCCGCTGACTACGTCTGCCATCTCCCAGCGGACCAGCATTCAGACTCTAGGACCCCAACTGCAACCTTGTCTGAGACATTTTAGTACATGTGCTGCTGAAGCAAGTGCTGTCTGGGGTACTTTAAAGGTACTAAATGGACTTAGCTATACATCAGTAGTTTCAAGAGAGAAAGAAGTGATGATGAGAAGAGACAGAGGAAAGAAGGAAAGAAGAAAGGAAAGGAGAGGGGTTAGGGAGGGAGGGAAGGGAGAAGGAGGGGGAGGCCCAGCCAGCGAAACCTTCTATATATCATGTAGTTTATTTAGTGTCAAAGCGCTCGAGTCTGGCCGTTCTCCCCTTTTTTCTCCAGTAGCTCACGGGATGCCCAAACACCACGGTGACCTTTTCTTTCCCAATGTTTAGAATGCTCAGGGTGGGAGGCAGAAGGGAGAGGAACATCGAACTGTGAGAGCAAGTTAGCGCATTGGCTATCTTGGAAAAAGTCAAAGATCCATAGCTGCGCTGGGCACACATGGACAGCCCAGAATTCCCAGCAGGATTTCAACCACAAGGGGTTGGCGGAGCCTCTTCTTCATACCTCAAGTAATCACTTCCTTCCCAGCTCATGCTCAGGGGTAGGGAGAACAGGCAGAAAACTGGGGTGATCTCCAAACCCACCCCTAGCCCTAGCCACTCATGAGTTGGCTTCCTTCCTTCTCCTTCTAGGTGCCCAGCTTGGGATTGCACCCAAGACTTGGACCCAGTCCTCTGGTTGACTGTCTAGAGCCCTCGGGTCTGGGAAAGTAGTTTGGTGAGATGACAGTGCCAGGAGGATAAGAATCAGAAAAGACAAGTGTCAGGGCGGTGGAGGCTATAAGAAAAGGTGACCCTGGTACTGCCCGAGAATAGAAAGCAATCAGTGACCCCCGACACGCAGCACTTTCATCCTCCTAGCTCCCTACTGTGGGCGAACAGATGTCCAGGAACCTCATCAGACAGTCCAGACAAGCAAATCATGGGGCCGAGATCAACTACAGAATCTGTGAGACCCAAATTAAAAGGAAATGTGCAACCCTTGATTCAAAATGATTACCAACTTTATGACAGCCATGGTGGGGCATGAAATGGAGCTAAGATCTTCCTGAGCTCCAGGCTTGCTCGGCTGTCTAGAAGGTTTGCTGGTGAGGCTGGCCCCATCTGTCATTCTGGTATAGTGGGATGACTTTCAGACCTACCTGCCATTGGGAAAGGTCTTGTCACATTTTTGCAAATACATGGATCCCTCAAGATTACCTCCTTTGCATTTTTGAAGTACCTGCTCCCTCAGTGCTGTCACCCAGAGGATCCCAAGGTTAACGGGCTTGGGGACAAAGAAGTCCATGAGGGGCAATAATGGAGACACTTGGAACACGGAGGCAAAGCTGCTTCTGGCCTAGAGTTTGTGTTCACTCTCATCTCCAAGTCCCCAGGCAGGAATTCCTTATAGGGTGTAAACAAAAGCCCCCAGAGATCCTGAGAACAGCCAGGGAACATACCTCAGTGCCACCTAGTCCAAGTGCCAAAAGTTCAAGATAGAGCCAAGCCCAGGAGATGGTAACGAGCAAGGTCAAGCCCTCTATATAACTTGCAAGACTGCATCTGCAGCAGGGCCTCCCGGAGGGCTGAGGGAGAGAAGGGCAGCTGGCAAATCCTCCCAGAGTCTTGGGGGAGGGGAAACTTCATTGAACAGCTCTCCAGAATCACCCACAGAGGTGCTGCTCGCCCTAGCTAAGGAGTTCTGAAGACAGAGGGGGGTCTATGACCTTGGACCACTGGAGCCCACTCCTGAAAAGCCCCTGCCCAAGCAGCCACATATCTCTTCTGCCTTGGCATCCTGGGGGGAGGGAGAGGAGGCAAGGAGCCCAATTTACCTTTCACTCCCCAGGGAGCAGCCTGCTTAAGACAAATTTTAAAGTCCTTGGACCCTGGCAGGGTCAGAAGTCAGCAGGGATGAGCCCACTTAGCCTCTGAAGCAGGAGATAAACTTTCGGGGTTTCCTCTGTCTCAGAAAAGAGGCTCAGAGAGACTTCTCAGGTATCTAATCCCCTGGCTACCTCATTTCACTCAGAGAGAAAGGGTCCCCCCTTCCATGGGTTCACAAACCTAAGATTGAATTTCTCCCTGGCCAGACCCTCAGAGGGATGGGTCAGCCTGCAACCTCCAGACAGGACCTAGTCTTGCAGGAGACCTGAGCAAGAGCTGAAATCTATGCCAAGGTATCAGCTAGCCAGGCTGGGATAGGAGGAGGCTCTGCACAATGTGGAGATGTGGGTTTCACCCAGGGCCACATCCCCCCGCCCCGCCCCCTCGGCCGACTCACTCCGGAGTATTGATCCAGATGATATCCAGGTGGCAGTAGTAGACACATTCCTTGTCCTTGTAGGTGAAGCACGTGCAGCGCCGGGCACGGTGGTGCACAGGGTCCCCCTCAGCTGCCTGGCCCTGTCCAGACTCTCCAGGACTTGGGCCCTGGGCTGCTGTTGGGGCCCCAGTCCCCTTGCTGGGACCGGGCACAGTCTCTTCACGGTTCCCCCCGGATCTGGCTGCAGGAAGGCTCCCAGGCAGGCTGGTCCTGCCAAAGCCCCCAGTCTGAGGCCAGGGCACAAGTCCTGCAAGAGGCACATGGAGGGGCTCCTGAGCTGGGAGTATAGAATAGCAGCTCAACACCCACCACCCCAAACATCAGGGGAGGGGAACACAATTCTGCAAAACATGCGTGCACTCTAATACCCCAAGCTGTGGCAAACGATCTGTTCGTGAGCTCTGTTCATACTTGGTGAACAGCCTGCAAACTGTTTCCGCTCTCTGCAAAGTCTGCAAGCTCTTTGCCCTGGTTAAACACTTGCATGCATTTGGAGCTTTCTGAGGACTTTGAGCGCATTCTGCAAGGTCTCTGGATAGTTTGCAAACTTTGTGAAAAGATCTGAACTTCATGAAAACTTGACCGAATCGCCAGGGCTGCAAACCCCAGGGGCCGTGGGTTGTCCTCGCGGTCCTCTCTGCTGTGTCCCAGCCAGCCCCGCTGGAGACCCCCCCGGCAAGAATCAGTTCCCTGCACGGACCCACCCAGAGCCAGCTCCTTTGTGCGCTGCTCCTCCCGGCGAGGCGCGCGCCGCCCGCTTACCTGCGGCGGAGGTCACTGTGAGCCCGAAAAGGAGCCACAGTCCGGGCTCCATGAACCCCGATGGGGCGCGGGTGCCCAGGCCCGAGGACGGCCCCGTGTGGCCACGACAGGGCACGGGGTCGCGCACAGCTTTCGAGTCCGGCCGCTCCCGGGTGCGTCCTGGGCTCCAGCCTAGAGTTGGCCGCGGCGTCACAAACTTTCAGAGCGCGCTGCCCATCCCCGCGCAGGGCTGGACGGCTGTGGGCTCCGGCTTTTCTGGTTCCCGCACCACCCCCTTCTCCTCCCCGCCCCCCGAGGGGCTGGAGCCACTGCGCTGGGCCTTTGAACCCTGGGAGCACCGGGGGTCGCTTGCAGACGCAGACGGGGAAGACGGCCAAAGCGCAGCGCTCAGAGAGCAACCTGGACAGAGAGGGGCGGGGTCGGTGGGGGGAGGGAGGGAGGAGGAGAAGGGGAACGGAGAGGGTGGGGGAGGGGCTAAGGGGTGGGGTGGGGCCCGGGACAGCTGCGGAAAGCTCCGCGCCGAGAGCATACACGCGTGCACTTACACTTGCATTCACTTGCGCACGGCCCCACCAGCTCCCTGTCCTGGACACATTGCCCCAGGCAACTGCCCTGCCCTAGAAGCGAAAAGATGATTGAAGGGCTGCAATGGGGGCTATTATCCTTTATCTCGGGGTCCAAGGGAAATAAACCTTTCTCAATGTTCACCTAATGACACCTTGCCCTTGTGCAGGGGCCCGTTTGCCAAGACACTGCGTACTTTACACTCGTGACTCACGGGCACCTCAGTTGGTCTCTGGCTCCCAGCCCACGGCAGGAATTAGGCGCCAAGGTGGGGCAGTGGTCGAGTCACAAGGATGGGGTGAGTTAGCGGTACTGGGGAGTCCCCCTTCTTTACCGCACTTGCACATGCTGGTGGGGTGGCTTCCTCCCAGCCTGCGGGAAGGCTTTCCCACCCAGGGCACAACCCAGCGACATGACCCTGAGACCATCAGTCTCCCCTGCTGTCTCAGGACACCTGTAGTGGACGTGAAACATCTGCAAAACCTTGGCCTCTCTGCTCATAAAATGTGGGGCATGGTATTGTCCCTGTGCCCCCCACCACCCCAGGCCTAATGATCTGTTTTGTAAACTGGAAGGCAACAGAAGAGGACTCCAGGAACTTCTGAGGTACTGTGTGAAAGGGGCTACAATTTCCATCCCTCACTGGCAGGCTGGGGGTGCTTGTTTGCCTAACGTGGTAACTCTGAGGCCAGGAAATCCAAACCCATCCAGATGGAGAGACCACCTCAGAAGTCCTTTTGGGCAGAAGCCAGGGTCGGCCACAGACGCGTCAGCTTCCATCCCTGAGCACTCCAAGGACTACTTTGCCTGGGTTACTGTAACAAAGCAATACAAACCTGGCAGCTTATACACACCAGAAAATTTTTTTCATAGCTCAGGGTCTTGGAAGTCTGAGGTCATGCTATCAGCATGCTGTGCCCAGGCTCACTTTGTGGTTCCTGGGTGTGGTTTCTTCCGAGTGCCCCTCTTCCATAAAGGCACTAATCTCATTCTGGAGGGGTCCATCCTGGTGACTTTGTCATCTCCCAAAGGCCTAACCCCTGACTTTAACTTTGAGAATTAGGATTTCACAGGTGAACATGCATTTTAATTATACTGACCTGGGCACCATGATTGGAGGAAGTACCCCGTCTGTCACCCTATCTACCCTCACAAGATTGGAAAGTCTCCCCTTGGCTGCTCTTTTTCAGTTCTTTTTATTCTGAGTTGGAAAATGTCAGTCCTCACTCTGATTTGGAAAATGTTGGGAGCATCTTCAAAACTCTCTAACAAGAGCCACCTTTGCCCAGAGAGAAGAAGCCTCAGGTGCAGAGCACCACGCAGCACCAGCGAGTGCCACTGGCGCTTTGCCCCATGGCTTTCCTCTCTCTTAATTTTATCTTTTATTTATGGCAAGTAATGATAGCCTTCCTCATGCCATACTGATCAAAAATGCCTTTCTAAACTAATTTCCTTAAGTAAGAAAAAAAATAACCCATATTAAAATATGAAATAAATCATCACAAAGATAGTTTATGGAGTCCTGGCAAAATCAGTAAGCTGGTTTATCATGGCTGAAGGTGAGAAAGTGAGGATTTGGAGAGCATTAAAGTAGGAAAGGGCATTAAAGTAGAGGAGGAAAGAAGACACAGGAAGGGAGGGGAGCCACACTGCAATCGCAGCGTCCCTAAGAAGGATGATAGTGGTCACCACCCAAGAACAAGCAACAGAAAGAAGAAACCATGTCCTTGAAAATAGCCTTCAGAATCTGTATAAAATTAGCAGGACATATGTGCTATGTGTTGGCAAATTAGATGTAGAGAAGCCCAAAGATCCAAGTCAGTAATCCATTTGTGGTCACGTTTACTGCACTGAGGGAGATGCCAAGGGGCTGGGAAGATGGGCCTCCTTCTCCACATCCTGGGCGCTAGGAGGGGGCCTCATTCCTCTTTAGTTGGTTCACTTGGTGGGCTGTGGAAGGAAAGCAGACCAACCAGCTAGCGGCAGCTCCTTCCTCCCCCTCTGCTTGACTGTGTGGTCCCGTCTGACCCTGCACTTACCAAGCCCCCATCTGACCTTGAAGGCCTCTGTGGTGAGCACTGATCGTTTTTGCTGGCCCAGCATCAAGCCTCCACCTTAGAGATAGCTCCACCCTCTGATTCTCCTTGGGGGGCGGGGGGGGGGGACACATCCATCCTGTGTGTGGTTCCAGTGGGACCTCAGGAACTCTGGCATCCGGGACTGCAAGGTAGGCTTGTGACCCAGAGCTGGCCACTTAGAGTTGTCCATCTGCCTTGCTGTAGTGGTGTGTGGATTCTGGGCTGCATGTGTAGTCAGACCCAACAAATCAATCTCAGCACTTCACTGGGAACACTTGAGAAGGAAATTCTCCGCCAGGATAGTTGCTAAGGGAGAAAATATACCTAAAGCTACTGACGGGCACCACAAGACAAGACCTTGCATGAGGATGAAGCCAACATGGAAGAAAGAGACAGCACTATGCCTAGACTATTCTTTCTATTTAAGCTTATTTAGGAATCTGCCAGTTTCAGCTAGAAAATCCCAGCTAGAACACCATCTGCTTACTTAGGTCCAGACTAAACTGTGTGCAAAGAAAATACACAATCCACATGAACTAGCAGCAAGTGAATGCTGGGGGTCTAGGCATCGCATTGCCCTGGGCCCAACCAACAAAACCTCTCCTAGCATCATCCCTGTCAGTTTTTCATCCCTCAGATGAAAAAACTGAGGCTTGAAAAGTTTATGGTAACAGACCCACTATTCTATACCTGTCAGGTGGCAGAGTTTGAAATCAAGTTTAGGTCTTTCATTCCAGGCCCATAGTCCATAGCCATTGGGCAGACCTCACCCCACAGCCCACATTTGCAACTGTTCTCCCTTTCTTCTGCCTATTGTTGCTGAGTCCTTCCCTCTTCACTGTTCAGTTCCTTTGCTTCTATATTCTCCAGGGTAAGGTCACACGGAGGAGCAATGACCTCGTCTCTTCTGCAGAGGACAGCAGTGCATGGTCTTGCTGCCCTCATTCCTTCTGTTTCCCGAGCTGCCCCTGCCATCAAACATGCCTCTAAGAGGAGTCACATGTTTCTGAGTCTTGGCCAGGTGCATGGCTTGGCCACTGTGTTTATTTTTCATCAACTTTTTCCAAGTCAGCAGATGTGCAACTGAGCCTGTATGTCTCACATTTTTGGATTCAAACTCAGCTGTTAAGAATATTGCAATTGCTCTCAGCTAAGTGTCCCCTCAAGTTGCCCCTTCATGTGCTTTAGGACTCTTTTGAAGATTGTTTTCCCTCAAATTTAGGGGATTTAAGGGACAGTAATATAATACATGATGTAGTTTTCCATCATCCTTTCATTTCTTCCTCCCACCCACTCCGATCAGAGAACGCTCTGGACTCATACAGAGGCAAGACAGTGAAGTGCTTTCCATGCCACCCCAAGTCTTAGCTTGTGCACTCCCCTTATCACGTGGTTCGTTCTTAAACATACCAAGGGTGGCTCCAGGCTGCAAATTCCTTCCCTTGAAAAAACATAAATTATAGGAAAAATTCCCAAGGAAATAAGATGGTTATTTTTTATAACCATCTTATGGTTATAAGTGGTTTGCCAACTACATGTGTTTGAGACCTAAAAAAATTGTCCGATTGCAAAAAGAAATCTGAGAGCAAATTGTTCAAGAGTGCCCTCAGGTTTCTTTCTACGTTTCCTGTTGCAGATGTTGACAATTGCAGGCCCCTCAGTATTCTGTTTCTGCAGTTCTGGCAATGGGCCACGTCTTCCTATGGGGAACACCCCTGCCCACAACCTGTCCCTATGCCCACCGATGCTCTAGGGCCAGGCTTATTACCGTGGAGAGCTGATCAGAGTGCCACGTCACCTTTGAGATAGGCTCAAGGATAGTCCCTCATTCCAGCCACGCCCTGACCCTCAAAATTTGAGAATGGATGGATTACTGTGACAAGAGACTTCCCCATTGTGACTAAAGATCTTGAGATAGGGGATTGTATGGGACTGCTCAGGAGGACTCAATGTCAGCATGACTGTCTTCATGAGAGAAAGGCAAGGTCAGGTCAGAGGAGGAGACGTGACTATAGCAGCACAGGCAGGAGGGACATGGAGCCATGCACCATGGAGTACGGGCAGCCTCTACAGCTGGCAAGAGCTCTACTAGTGGAGAAGCTCCTCCTCTATAGCTTCCAGAATGAGTGGAGTCCTGTCACCCTGTTTGTTAGGTTCTGGCCTCCAGATTAAATGGTAGTATATTTATGTTACTCTAAACCACTGTTGGTGGTAAATGATTACCACAGCTACAAGAAATTAATACAGTCTTAAACATGGCAGTTGGTTTGGGGATGGGTCCCAGAGCCAAACCACGCCAATCAGAACCATCAAGATTCAGCTCTGCGACTTTGAAAAGCAATTCTTTTGTCTCTCTGTGTCTCTGTCTCTGTCTCTCTGTGTCTCTGTCTGTCTGTCTGTCTGTCTGTCTGCCTGTCTCTCTCTCTCTCTCTCTCTCTCTCTCTCTCTCTCTCTCTCTCTCTGGATTTGCTGGGAGAATGAGATGGCAGCTTGAAAGTGCCAGAAGACACTAGCATCACCGATGGCACCCACACAGCTGGAGAAAGCCGGGTAGGGAGTGCACTAAGACTGAAATGTGAGTCTTGGGGTTCAGTGTGGCCCTCAGTACCTTTCATGCAGACCCTTGCTTATGCCACTTCAGCAGTAGCCCACCCTGGTTGCCTGAATTGATTGCAACGCTGACTGCCAAAGAACCAAGCCGGGTGCAAATCTCCAGCCAGCAAAGTTGCTGACGGACGAGCTCCCTGTG